CCTCGCCGCCGCCGCCGGGACCCTGCCCCGACCCCTCCCCGCTGCTCGGTGAGTGCCGCCCCGTCGGGGTTTCGTGGAGGGGGTCGGGGGGCTCCCGGCCCTGTCCCGCCGCCGCCGCCCGTCCGCTCGGATGGGGGGAACGGGGCATGGCGGGCGGGCCGCCGGGTCGCGCCTGGGGTCGCGGTGTCCCTCGGTGCGTGTCCGTCCCCACGCGTGGCGGCGAGCAGCGCCCGGCGGAGGGGGATTGTGGGAGAATCCCCGGGGAGACGGTGTTCGGGAGGGGGCCGCAGGCACAGCGGGCGCGGACGCTCCGTCGGGAGAAGCGGCGTCGAGGGGAGCCCCGGCGCTCTCGGGGAGCGCTGCCGCCCCGTCCGGCGGGTGTCCGTCTCGGTGGGACGGAGAGGTTGGGAAATTTCCTGTGGGAGTTCTACCCAAAATACCGCTCTTGCGCAACCGGGCAGGAAGGTTCAGCCGGGCTGTTTGTGCTCGGCAGGCTTTTGTGTGCGCGGACCTGCTGGATGAGCGGCATAGGGGGGTTTTATTAGTATTTTTTATTTTATTAAAAAAAAAAGCGCTGTGGGGCAGGGTCATGCATACGGTTGTTATGCATCCCGACGGCGCTTCCCACGTTATTTGCTCCTGTGATGCCGTATCCTGATACGTGGCAGCCTGGCGTGTGCTTTATCTGGAGCCGTGCTCCCCACAGGCCCTTCCCGGGGCTGCCGGGGCGCTGGGGGGCTGCCGGGCTCTGCACGGGCTTGCGGCCTGCCGGTGGGCGTAATCTCTGCGTCGGTCACCTGTAGCTGTGTGGATGCAGGGGCTTTGTCACAAGGCAGAGGGTGGGGGCGAGGTGAATTTCACCTTTTCTCCTACCCTTACAAGGCTCTCGCCCACCTGGATGTTTGTAGCTGCTGCTCCGTGAATAGACCCCTCCCGTGGTGTAGGTCGGGTCCGTTACCCTGACCTGCTGGCATCCCAGTTGATAGTGACCCGGCCGCAAGCTATTCGTGTCCTGTCATCTCCATCCTCATCAGTGGTGCCACGTTAGCGCAGGCCACCTTCATTACCAGAGATCACAACAGGGGAAGTCTCTTCAAGCTTTCAGGAAGCTACCTGTGGTTTTCAATTTGTGAAACCGACACAGAAATTCAGTTTCTCTCCCCGCTTGCTGGTCAGCTGTTTATGGATCAATGCATCTGAATAACAAATGACTGGTTTGTTATTTTAGGAAGGCGGTTTTGAGGTCACTAAAAGGAACCGTGCTATGTTTTTTTGTTGTTGTTTTTGATTCGCATCTTTCACTTTTTTTCCCCCTAGATCGCTTTAAGTTGAAAGTGGCTGTGCAAGCCCGTCCTCACGGAGTGGATGGGGGAGCCCTTTTTACAAATATGGCTTTGCTTTAAATGGTCTCCACTTACTCTGATCCTCTCAGGAGTAGAAGTCACGTGCTTTTGAAATGCCCAGAGTTTAAAGAAATGCTCTTAGTGTCCCCAAGATTCAAAGCGTTATCACAGTTAGTCACTGAAGGATCAATTAAAATATTCTATAGCTTCTTAGTTAGTTCTTCAGTGCAATTTGTGGAATCCACCAAAGGCCAAATCATAGAAGCCTGGTTTGGGTTGGAAAGGACCTTAAAGTTCCAACCCCCCTGCCATGGGCAGGGACACCTCCCACTAGAGCAGGTTGCTCAAAGCCCCATCCAGCCTGGCCTTGAACATCTCCAGGGATGGGGCAGCCACGACTTCCCTGGGCAACCTGTTCCAGTGTCTCACCACCCTCACTGTAAAGAACTTCTTTCCAGTATCTAATCTAAATCTCCCCTCTTCCAGTTTAAAACCATTACCCCTTGTCCTATCACTACACTTCCTGACAAAGAGTCCCTCTCCGGCTCTTCTGTAGGCTCCCTTCAGATATTTAAAGGCTGCTACAAGGTCTCCCTGGAGCCTTCTCTTCTCCTTGTCAGTTAGTCACTGAAGGATCAATTAAAATATTATAGCTTCTTTGTAAGTTCTTCAGTGCAGCTTGCGGAATCCACCAAAGGCCAAATGAGGCTGTTGGAAGTGGTTGGAGGTGTTCAGAGAGCTACCAGGCCATGTAGAAAGAAGCTCTTTACCACGCAGGAGGCACATAGTTTCTAGCTGTGTTACCTTCAGTATTTGTGGGGTGGTGCCGTCAGACGCAGGCTGACATCATCACGGCGTCAGGGTCTGCAGCCAGCATGTAGGTAAAAAACCTGGTGGTTTTTTTTTTTCCTGCTGTTGTCAGGTTTTGGTAGCAAACAGTGTTTGTAAAACAGTCCTGTTGTGCCTCAGATGTTGGTCAGAGCTGTGTCAGCTCTCATCAACATCTCATGTATCTCTAAGGCCAGTGTGGGGGATGGAGAGGTGTCTTGAAATGCAGTTTGTCCTTTTTATTTTTGTCGTTTATTTTCTGCTCCCTTCCTCCACCAGGCCCTGTCATTGGAAGCATGTGATGAATCATGCAGGAGATGTGTGACTGAGCTGTTCGGGCTTTTTGAACGGTCAGATGGCTGGGTACTTGTTTCAGAGGCCCAGAGTTTTCTTTCTAGCGATGTTTAGAGAGAGTAGTTTACAATCCCTGCTGTCTGGCTCTGCAGCAAATGCATTAGCTGAATTAGGTTTAATCTCTACAAGAGGCTGCCAAATTGAAAATGCTTTTATGGTTCACTTGCCTTTATTTATAATTTAAAAGCATAAGTAAGGGCTGGGGAAATAATACCGTAATTCAACTTTGAATTAAAAGTCCTTAACAGCTATGAAATTCTCTAATACAAGGTAATATAGGCATTTTGGGTTTATGCTTCGGTTGAGAGCTGGGTGCCAATGAGTAATCTTAAATGGGGTATCGAGAAGCAGAGCTCATTGGATGCTGTGAAATTTCAGCCTGTGAGAAGCTGAAAAGCAAGTAAATCCTGATGTATCCTGCAGGTGTCCATTCCCCAAAATGTTATGTTTGTTAGGGACTGTAGAACAGTATTGTTGTTTTTTTAATTAAAAAAAAATAATCCAAACTTTAAAAGTTGCTCTATAGAAGTAGTATATCTGCTAGCCTGAGTGCTTTCGAAACAGTCACATGCTTTTCTTTTACTTCTTCTGTGAGGTCTTTGTGTTTTGTTGATGGGCTAGTTTTGTGCCTGCTGTTGTTAGGAAGGAGTGTGGAAGGGGGCAGGTTCTTTGGTAGTAAGATCCCTCTCCAAAAGAGCTCATCGTAAAGCAGCACTTATCTTTGGGTGCCAGAAGTCTGCAAAGGAGAATCTCATGGACAGGCTTATCTGTATTTCAGGGATGTAATTTTCAAGTTCTGCCTGGTCGAGAGCACGTGCTGTTTGCAGAGGTTATTTTAGAATACAGCTGTCTCCTTTGCCATTTTTGACCCTAGTTTAGATACCAAGTGTGGCTGGTAAGGGATGGCAGACCGAAGAGGTGTGTTCTTAACCCTCTGCTCCTTGTGCATCTCATGGCAAAGATGACCCAACTGCACTAAACACGTTGCAGTCAGGCGTCTGGCTCAATAGCTTTTCACCTCCAGCTTGAAGTTTAGAAAACTGACAACCCCAAACCCTAATAGTTAAGGGATATTGACAAAACAAAAAAATCTAGGTTCGCATATGAACCAGTGAACACAAGCCATTAGAGTTGCACTTATTTTCACTTGTGTGTACAAAGGAGTAAAGTTTCCAAATAGCTATTTGCTGGAAGGTCTTGGGCATGCAAGAAAACCATCTGTTTCTTCAAGATGCTAGGGTCCTGGATAGAAAGTGGTGCTTCCCACTGTTGTCGAGGCATGTTTAAAGAAAACGAGGATTGAGAAAGATCGAGGGAGAAGCACCTACAGCGTGGGCTTTCTCTTTGATGCACAGCTTCTCATGCCTGTGCAGTCAGTGCAGGCAGTTGCTCTAAACTGTAGATCCTGAAGATAAGTGATGGGAGTATTCTGATGCTTTGATGTTTGTTCAGAAAAGACAGAGGTAGCCTGTCAAGTCGATGGTGATGCTTAGTGCCTGTGTTACAGAGGTTTCTAGAGGTTATGTGCTACCTGAGAGGTCAGTGGATTCTCAGATAATATAGTTTGAGTATGTGTGGACATTGCAGAGGCAGAGGATGCTTTAGCACCGGCAGAATCCTAGCAGAGTGTAGCTGGGGGAGAGTGAAAACCTGAGGTGCTGAAAACAGCATTTTTCAAGAAGACTTCTGGTGGTGACCTTGCTGGAGGGGTTTGGTAGGTTTGTCATGCCTGGGGTCTGGTTCTTGTCGCGTTGTCCACCTTGCCCACCAGGGCTGTGGTCTCCCTGGGGTGGGTTTCTACTCCAGAAACTGGGGGCCTCTGAATCTGTGGGGTCACTTAGGATACCAAGCAGTGGAGCGAGCATTTGCTTTACACCCAGCATCTCCCCCTCCTCTTGTCTGGACTTGCTATTGTCTGCTTTGCTGCTTTTTTGTTTCTTTTTTGTTTTGTTTTTGGTTTTTTTAACCTTTTTGATACAGCCTCTATCTCCGCTGCCTCCTGCCTCCGCTAAAACCTGGTGCCACAGGCGTTACTTTGCTCAGTGGCTGCAAGCTGGGGTTTTGCTGCGTCCCTCCGCTGCTGCCTTTCAAAAAAGTAAAATAGAAACTCAGAGAAGAGCGTGGAGAGTGCTGGGGGAGGGGGAACTAACACGTGGACCAGTTTGCTCAAAGTTAGGCTTTCTTGGCCTCAAAAGAGAGGTTGAGAAACTGCGTTAAACTTTGCCAAAGAATATGTTTAAGATGTTTGGCAAGGAGCAGATGCGCTATCCTGGCAACACCACCGACAGCTCTGCATCTGCCCGTGTGGTTGGGAGCACAGCGTACCTCTGTAGCACAGGCTTTTTCGGCGGGCAGGGAGCAGCATCTGTAGTGAGAGCATCCCCAGCATCCTCTTAATCTGGTCAAAGTGAAGGTCAAAGGCTATTAATTGAGCTTACAAACTAACTTGGAAAGGTACTGTGCCTTACTGGAGAGCAGCCGTTCCATGGACACGGCCCAACAGATGGGAGGTGCTGGGGAGAA